CTGAGAATTTGCAAGAGTTCCAAGACTGGGTATGCTTCACTGAAATTATCCTCTTTCTTATTCCTTTGATTAAAACATTCATTATCCAGATTTACGTACCTCTTTGTCTTTCAACAGAATGAGTATTATTCCTGTGATGCAAAATATCGCAACTGGCTCAAATTTCAATTAGAGAATGCTGAAGTCACTGAACTGTCAAAAGAGGAAAATCAGAAAGCTATTGTAGCAGCCAAAGAGACTCTGGATTCTTCTTTGACATTGCTCCTCAGTAAGTGATGCCATACTTGATAATATATGGTTGACTTGTTGTATGCACGACTTTGCAATTTGAATGTTGATCAAATATGCTGCTAACTGTGCCAGTTTTGAATCTTAACCCAGGACGAGACAATCCCTGGATGACATTTCTCGAAGATCATGTATTTGAATCAGAAGAATATTTATTCCTTGAATTGCATGCAACTGCGATGCTCTGTTTACCTTCTGGTGAATGTTTGCGCCCAGATGCTACTGTATGTGCTGCATTAATGAGTGCACTGTACTCTTCTGTCAGTGAGGAAGTTGTTTTAGATCGCCAGTTAATGGTAATCCTTTTATTCATTGTTCTTGTTGCATATGTTCCTTTTACCTGTAACCTTTGCTTTTCCCTCACGCATAGTTATATATAGTTTGATTTTTCCCTGGACATGAGTTTTCATCTAAAATGGTTGTGCAATAGAATTCAATATTTTCTATGATGTGACAGCATCTTGAGAGCATCTACTACGTTAATGTTTGTGTTGATCTTCGCTTTCAGGTAAATGTATCGATTTCTTCAAGGGACAGCTACTGCATCGAGGTTGTGCTCCGGTGTTTAGCAATTAAGGGTGATGGACTTGGGCCACATAATGCAAATGATGGTGGTATCCTAAGTGCAGTGGCTGCAGCTGGTTTTAAAGGTTTGGTTCTGTGGAACATATTTCTTGTTTACTGTGGTTTACATCCTTTTCTCTATAGAAATTTGGGGATGTTTCATCCAAGATAAAATCACCAGCATTAATAAAACAATCAAAATTTCAAAATTTGACTGCAGGTGAACTTGCCCGTTTCCAAGCAGGTGTTACAATGGATATATCCCGCCTAGACGCTTGGTATTCAAGTAAAGAAGGCTCGCTTGAAACACCTGCAACTTATATTGTCCGGGGTCTCTGTAGAAGATGCTGTCTTCCAGAGCTCGTTCTTCGATCGATGCAGGTAAAGCAACTAGCCTCTCCCATATTAAATTATAACAATGCATACATGCGTGTCTCTCTGCGGTCAGTTCATCTTAACCTATAAAAAATGTGTCTACTAAGACTTTTGCAGAGAATGAAAAGTCTTTGGTCGTTTACATAGGCGAGAACTATAGAAGACTGAACTTTTACCTACTTGCATGTCCCTGGTTAGATAAATTAACCTCAATTTATTGATGTATGCGCAGGTTTCTGTTTCTCTGATGGAGTCGGGAAAGCCACCTGAAGATCATGATGAACTGATCGAGCTTGTGGCTTCTGATGAAACTGGTTTTCTCTCTTTGTTCAGTCGGCAACAATTACAGGTTAGTAATTTTCAGTTCTTTACTCCATGAAAAACAGTCAAAGGCTTACCATCTTTGATTACATCATTGTTGGTTATTCACCTGAATGAATATCTGTTAGCTTTTAGTTTTACTGTTCTGCTTCAGAAATGTGTTTGTCACTTTGGCTGTGAGACATCAAAAGGAGTGAGTCATAAAGTCATGAGATCATATCTGCGTATTAATATTTTATTCTTGATAACTGAGAACCATCTGATCGATTTAAATGCAATACAAATGCAGGAGTTCATGTTGTTTGAGAGAGAGTATCGTATGTCTCAGTTGGAGCTTCAGGAGGAACTTTCATCATCTTAAATTCTTAATATTGCCTACCAGCTTCTTCCTTACCAAATGCCAAGAGAGACTGCCTATTTCAGCTGTGTAATTTACGCTACAGCTTGTCTTCTTTATAGACTAGGGATTTCACTGATCAAATTGATGTATACACTGACAAATTTTGTTAAATGCTGAGAAATCAAATTTCCTGTCAAAGAGTTGATCATCTCTAACTCTAAGAAAACCGTCTCTCTCATAGGATTATCATAACCGTCAAGTTAAGCAAAAGATAATAAACATCATAACAAAGTCCGAACGTACTAGTCTCTTGTCTTGAAATAGAGCTTTTTATTTATATGGATAGAGAGATGAACAGTATTACATACTGTTGGTCGACTGTCTGATTCTGTTGGATCAGACTTCAGAGCAAAGAGTGAAGTCTCTCATTCTCTGTCCTAACATGGTTTCTGGTTATGTCATCAATGGTGGGACAACCAGAAAGAGCCATAGTAATCTCAAACTCGTTCTTTAGCATCTCGATCACTTTTTTCACTCCATCTTCACCCTTAGCTGCAAGCCCATAGACTATAGGCCTCCCTATCTGCATCAGCCAACTATAAAGTGTTACATCAACAGAGATTAACCTGAAAATGTGTATGCTAAATCGCATTGATAGCTTACAAGAACAGCTTGGGCGCCGAGCGCCAGCGCTTTGAAAACATCAGTTCCTCGTCGTACTCCTCCATCAAGCAAAACCGGAATCCTACCTCTGACAACATGTACAACCTGCAGTTCTAGGAAACAAAATTCAGTTCATTAAGACCCTTTAAGTTTTTCTAAAGCATGCTTTGATGGGGTTACCTCTTCTAAGACAGTTATCGTAGCAGGGGAATAGTCAAGCTGGCGAGCCCCGTGGTTAGACACCACTATACCATCTACACCGGCTTCAACAGCCATAAGAGCTGCCAATAACATCAAACAGAGTGTTCTTTTATATGCCTTGAACTTGCTACAAAGTATGGTACATGCTCTATATCAAACAATGATACATGGATCTTACCATCTTCACGTGTGAGTAACCCTTTGACCAGAATTGGCAACTTTGTGATAGACCTTAACCATTCGATGTCCTAAAATTTTGCAATGCAAAAATTACAAAGAATGCCGTCACATAGGAAATTTGTGTTAAGAATTCAAGGACACAAACAGAATCATTCATAAGATTTCACCTTCCAACTTAATGAAGCATCAAGTGTACTAGAGGCAAAGGCTTCAACCCCTGAACCTTCATTCTAAGAGAAATTATCATGTTAAAAACTGGTAAGGTTTTGCTATTCATGAGTCCTTAACATAAGCTCTACTCACAGGTCTGACTTCGGTCGAAACTAAACCTTCAAAATTCTTCAGCTGCGGAGATATCATTCTATATAAGAGAAAAATTGGAACATCATTTCAGAAACTTACTTTTTATCAGATAGACTAAGCAAAGTAGGAAATCTATGTCCCCAGAAGGTCAAAGTAATGGAGAGTGTTACTTGTTCTTTATATCTGCTTCCCTTCTACCAAGTCTGGGAACATCAACAGTGAGAACTATAGCCTTGAATCCAGCGTTTTCAGCTCTTTTAACAATCTGAGCTGTTACATCACGTCTCTTGTACACCTATAAAATATATTAGAGACCTCAGGCCGGACACCAAGGAAGCATATTTTGGAGAAAATAACAAAAGCAGCTAAAAGTTTTAAGATTCTGTTATTTACATATATTTGAAGAAACCGAACAGCGTTACAACTTGACGCAACCTCCTCAATAGTGCAAGTAGACATGAATGATACTATCTGAGATCACACCAAAAAAAAAAAAAAACACTACAATCATATTACCTTGAAATCCAAACAGTGCAAAACAAGTATACCATGATTGTGTTACACGCAGCCGCAGCTTTGGCAGTGGCGATTTCTCCTAACATAGAAGACATATCAAATAAAAAATTCTCAAAATGCAGAAATTGCAAACTTTTGTGTGTTGACACTTGACAACTAGTTATGAACATAGACTAACAACAGACCTTCAGGATGAGCCAACTTATGCATTGCTGTTGGAGCAATCATGATGGGAGCTGAGATAGGAAACCCAAATATTCTGGTGGACATATCTATTTTGCTCACATCAACGAGTACCCTAGGCCTAAACCTGAACATCAATCAAGCAAACAAACATATCAGACGATGAAGATATGGCATCCCCCACCGAAATGGATATTAATATGGATTTTGTTACATGATTCTACGGAAAGCTTCAACATTCTCCTTGAGAGTGTGTTGATCCTCTGCTCCTCCATTGTAGAAATCAAAGTACATCTTAGGAAGGGCCTGTTTGGCCAGTTCTTGAAACTCATCCACGTTTACAATTTGATCCATCTAATCTACAGATATCATACAAAGGAAAGAAATTGACAATCAAACAACACTTCTCTAACAATCATGCAAGAACCTTGCTCCTACATCAAGATTAACTAGAAATGATCAAAATTCTTAAGCATCATTTCTTTGATGGTCAAAAAAATAAGGACCATCAAGCCTAAACCAATGATCCATTACAAGACTTGATTTGTTTGAAGTAGTAAGTTGAATCTTTAAGTCACAGGAAACAAGAAAGAGACTCGGAACTAAAAATTAAACCATACAATATATGACCGAAAGAGAGGGTTAAGTAGAAGTACTCACATATTGTAAAAAACAGAGCAAAATAAAGAAAAGCTGAACTTCTTTTTCAAGTCTCTGGTAGGAGCAAATCCCTGGAACAAAATGGTGTCGCAAAAGAAGAAAAGAGATGTTTTAGTTTTTATCTGACTAATAAATTATTAAATATGCCTTAAGATTCAGAGTCTCTCCCATAAGTCGATACTGCTGCTTTGTCTAGACTTAGAGTGTTTGCCCGCTCGTTCTGGCAATGGGCTTTATTGGGGAATATTATTGGCCCAAAAGGTTCTGGTTGGGGCTTATTTGTTTAGTGGATTATCCATGTCAGCGTATCCAGTGATGACATGGCATGCTGAGTCAGCACCGCCGAAGACGGTGAACGGCGATTGAACTTTCCAACGGAGGGTTTTACTTGTCAGTACAATTCACAGAAACCGAAGAGTCTCTTTGCAAAGTTGCAATTTTTAAACCCTTGAGAAACTGAATCCGATTATAAAAGGGAACATCGGAATATCAGCTTCAGTTCTACTTGTACCTTCTAAAGTTACTGTCTTTTGAAAGTGATTGGGGATGAAATCGATGAATCGCGGCGAAGCTAAGGGCTCCGGTGGCCGTAGGGGTTCTCGAGGACCTTTTACGACACCTGGGAAAATGGAGTACCGTCGGAAAAGCGAAAGTCCGGTAGCTTCCGAGAATGTTTGTGTTGTTCCGTAATTGGAATCGCTTGATACCTTTACTTGTTGCGTGCTCTTATTAATGTTATGGTTCGTAAGCACAATATATTTCCTTTGTAATCTACAGGTTTCCATTGATAGGTCTTTGGATGATTCTTCTGGTAGTAGGGGTAGAGGACCTCGAGGGAGAGGAAGAAGTTCACCATCATGGTCTCCTAGAGATACTTCTGGGCGTGGCGGCAATGAACACACTCCAGTGCAAGTGTACGCTAACAAGTCCAATGAGGATAAGATAGGTTTTACCAAGCAACCTGAGGAAGGTGCTGCTCTCAAGGTTTCTGAAGATAACAAAGATCTTTTGCAATCATCTGGTTCGTCTAGCTCAAAGAACATAAATTTCAGTGGAGAGTCGTTTGTCTCTAGCGAATGCAAGGACAAAGATGGCGCTAAAGTGCATTGTGGTCTTGTCAATAGGATGAAAGATGTTTCGTTATCTTGCCAGGAGTCTCTGTCTTCCTTAAGTGATCAGAAAACTGAGCTTTCTAGTGTTGAGGATCAGAGTAGTACTGCTCAACAGTCTGGCGCTGCAGAGAACTCTTCAAATGAAAGCAGCACAAGACCTTTTGATCTCTTTCTCGAGAAGAAGGGGATAGGACTAAAACCCTCTCGGTTGGAAATGAACAGAGAAAAGAGGAAAGCAGCTAAAGGGTACACTGGAATTGTGATTAGACCTGGAATGGTACTTCTCAAGAATTACTTGTCAATCGATGATCAAGTAAGTACGCTTTCTATGTCCCTATTCCCTCTTTCTGCACGTGTTTGGTTATCTTTCTAATCTTGTATGCATCATTTGTACACTTATTTTGAACTCGAAACTTTGTAGGTGATGATTGTGAACAAATGCCGTCAGCTGGGTTTGGGTGAAGGTGGCTTCTATCAACCAGGTTATAGGGATGAAGCGAAAATGCACTTGAAAATGATGTGCCTTGGGAAAAACTGGGACCCTGAAACATCTCGATATGGAGAAGTTCGACCCATTGATGGTTCTAATCCGCCAAAAATTCCAGCTGAATTCTATCAGTTTGTTGAGAAAGCAATTAAAGAATCGCAGTCCCTAGCTGCCTCAAATTCAAATGAAAAGAGGGGGGAAGTTATAATACCATTTATGTCACCAGACATATGTATTGTTAACTTCTACACATCCACCGGGAGACTTGGTCTCCATCGGGTTAGTATTTCAAACAACTTTGTTATTTCATAAAGCTTAAAGGAAATTGCATCATTAGTTGTAAATCCTTGATGTTTCAGGACAAAGATGAGAGCGAAAGGTCCATTCAGAAAGGATTACCTGTTGTTTCATTTTCTATTGGAGATTCAGCCGAGTTCTTGTATGGTGATCAGTGGGATGAAGATGCGGCAGAAACGTTAGTCTTGGAGTCTGGAGATGTTTTACTGTTTGGTGGTAAATCCAGAAATGTCTTACATGGCGTGAGATCAATTACCAAAAATACTGCCCCTAATGTTCTTGTTCAGGAAACAAGTCTCCGCCCAGGTCGCCTGAATTTAACTTTTAGGCAGTATTAACCAAAAATCAGTTCTTGAAGATACTGGCCACAAGGTTTTGGTTCAGGAACCAAGTCCCACCCTGGTCGCCTGAAATTTACTTTTAGGAAGTATTAACCACAAGCTAGAAACTTTTGTAATGTATCTTAAGCTGTTTTGGGGTGCCTGAGCTTGTACACATTGTAGGCTCATAACCTGCTTTTTATATCTTTTTCTTGGAAAAAAAATATTTTGAGTACCTACACTTGTTATGATTATATTTTGAGTTATATCATAATGTCTTGGCAAAATAATTATCCTTTGATCTTCTCGAAATTAGCCGCCTCATATTCCTCTTGACTTCAATTAGTTCTTTTAGTTGGTGATGAAAAGATTCACTATGCCTTGCGGCTACTCCAGAAGATGAAGACAGTAGATAGAAAACCCACTTGTGACCTGAAAGATTAACTCGTGTTTATTATATTAACATATTGTATGTCTGATTCTGTTTCTATTATACACAATAAATTAGCATACAAACAATGTGTATAACTTTGGCTCTAGTTCGATTTGTGAAGTTGTTTCGTTCTTGTTGCTAAGCAAATTTTCCCATTGGATCGGTTGTCTTGTCAGACGCGAGCTTACCTATACTCCAATAGCTGATGCAGCTGAATCTACATAAAGTAGCAAGCAAGAGTATATTTTCTTTTTCAATCGTTCTATATTCTCAAGCAAAGAACTATCACTAGAATGATGATCACTTTTAACTTTTTCCAGCCATTCATTTGCTTTCCTAAGTTGGGATAATGTCTCTGTAATATGATTCTCTGGTTCCGCTGGATGTGCTCCTTTGGTTTTTCCTTTCTTCTCCGAAACACTGGCATGGAATCCAGTATCTAATGCGTCTTCCAAGAATTTCAAAAACCAGCTTCTCGTTTCTTGTTTCAAAGTGTTTCTCAGTTCTTTTATCTCTTCTGTGCCATTTCCCTTGACCCATTCCAGCTTTTCGGCTTCTGTTAGAGCTTTAGAAGGCTTCAGTGTGGCTCTGCTTGAAGTTAGACTAGCTTTTTTTCTCAACTTGTCAGGTTCCAAGCATAATGAATTAATATTCACTGGCTGGATTGGTTTATCTTTTGGTGCTGCAGTTGTGACCTGTGCTTGGTCAAGGATACTCTGCAGGGTGAAGAAGTTTCTGAGAGAGGTATGTGGACTCTTAGGGGAAGAATTTGAGCTGAGGTCAGCAAAAATACTGCAAATCATTGTTTTCTTGATTAGGCAAAAGACAATTTTTCATAGACAAACAAAATTTCTATCATATTTTCTATTCTAATTCTCCATGATGGATGGAGCAGGTTTGGTTTCAAATGTAACTTGCCTGATACATTTGATAAGATGTGAAGCAGCTAATGCCTCTCTTTGCACCTCTGTGGCAATTAGAGCAGCAATATTTCTCCTTCTCAGCATTCCCTTTGGATTCAGAGATTATCAGCGATGAGCTCATAGGGGGATGATTCAAAACACAAAAAGAGAGATACAGAGATCATATAAAGCGTACTTTACCCATTTTTGATAGATTAATAGGCAGAGAGCTCCATGATGCATCCTCGGAAGAGCTACTCTTCCTAGTTATGTAATTCACAGTGGAGCTCAAAGAGAGTTTCTTTGGCTCTGCCTTTGTTAGAGCTGTCGAAGGACGAGATTGTGGAGGACCAGCTTGACGTGCCTATGCACATATATGTTGATAACAGGTTAACCAAATGCAATACGCTAAATTTAGGAATGTTCTAATCCTAAGAGCTGTTGTGACTTATCAGAAGAAGACTCACCTGATTTGTGTGCTCCCTTTGCTTGCCTTTAGCCAATCCAGCAACTTTCTTAGTGGCCATTATTGATCCAGTCTCACTCTCATTGTTGCTACCGCCGCTACTCGAATCTGATCCATTTGTCTTTGGGTTTGAAATACCTTTCATGTATCTTGAAGCCACACCTGTCTTCTCTTCCTTAATTACAAAAGGTTGATGTTTTCTTAGATTCTCCACCTTGTTTGATCTCTCACCATCTTTCTGCTGAAGAATTTGCATTAGAAAACAGATCTCTTATAAAAATAAAAAAGTTCAAGAATCAGATGATTATATAATAAAAGATATTGCAACACCTTCTTCTGGCTGTTATTTTCTTCTTGCAAAGATGTAGTCTCACTAGGTATCAACATTTGCATCAAATCTTTGGGATTTCCTACAAAAGGATGGCGTCCAGAGATGGGTCTAACACCCACCATTACAGGAACAGGTGTCCCAGCTTCAAGCTTATCAACGTAGAAGAACTGTCCCAATCCCAGTTTGTTGTTCAAGATGAGTTCGTTGTCTTCGTTCCTCAATGAGACATATGTGGAGTGAGAAGAATCCGACACTTTGATGAAAAAGCCTTGGTTTGGCCAAAGCTCTGAGCCGGCTAAAGCAGGGACAATACCGATTACCTGCAAGAGAACCGACCGATATTCCCCTCGAACCTTGATGTTTGTGTTTATCGTCTGAAGAAGCTTGATTAACACTCTAGGCGTAAGAGAAGCCATTCTTGAAAACTGAACAGTGTGAGATTGAACTTTTACAACAAAGAGAATAAAGAAAGAAAGATTCCTGCTTTTTTTTTTTTGGAAGGTTGGAATTTCTGTTCCTCGATGATGGAGCATCTTCCCTATCTTTGCATGTCAGGTAAGTAACATCATCATCAAATTTCACTTGGCTTTGAAGTCAAGTGATCATGTTACTTAGGATTTCTTGTCCCAATTTCCTTTACTTTTTAGGTGAATGACTAAGATATCCTTGAGAATCCTTGATGGAACTGGTGAGGTTATTAAGGGGGGAGGGGTTATTTGGTGATTTTATAGTGGGTCACGTCAACTTTGATCTCACGTCACTTTCCGAGGAAGATGGAGAAAAAAGGTTGTTTGGGAAGGTGAGTAATGAGTATATACCTTACTTTGCCCACTTTTGCTTGTTGATCACAAATACGAGATTATTGAAATGTCAAAATATATGTTTATTATTTATTTTATTTTCTGAATTTATCTCATGCTGTTACATTACATCAATAATAGTTTTCGACCATACTCCACAAGTCTATAGTTAGCAACAATGTTACTGAAACTTGGATGCGTTTCACTAAACCTGTGTCGATTACTTCAATCTTTTTTGCTTATTAAATGATATCTAAGAGCTTCCAAGTTTCAATATTGGACACTATTTAAAGTCGCTAGCACAGTGCCTTAAAGGCTAGAACACCAGACTCTATTCTTCTGAAAGGTCAAAATGATAAATATAAAATTGGCACATTGCCATCCCTTTTGTTTGTACTACCAAAAATCACATCGATATCAAACCGATATGGACATGTTTTCAGGTTTGATACAATTTACAATGTAGGCTTTAAAACCACTATCAGAGAGTTAACAGAGAAATATTGAAGAGAAGAGGCACTATTCTCAATGATACATTGATCCGAAACAAAGACCACATGATACCTCAGTATATTTCACTTATATACTTGTGTCTGTTGTGCCTGCGTCGCCATCTTTTAGTCTTTTACCTTTCATTCATTTCGATCCTGACATCTGTTATGAATCCGGATTTCGAATCATTTCCCTTTGCTACGAAAATTGGAAAGTGAAAAGAATGACCTCGGTGCTGCAGTAAACATGAAGCTCACGAGTGAGTAAAATGCATATGACAAGGAGTTAAAGATCGCAGCTTGGTTATAAAGAACTGTGAATTGGGCAGTAAGATCTCAGTTGAACGATTAAAAAATAATCTCAGATGCTTAGTTATATTCTTCAGATTATGTGGATACAAAAAAGGTTAGGAGTTTTTGAGAGTGGAAAACACTTGATTGCTTACCTTTTGCAGAAGTTCCTGACGTCTGATCTTCCTTCAGTTTAAAGCTCAATGGTGCGCCAGTGGGTTGGCCTGAAATCAGGGACACAATATAAAATCATCCTCCGTGACTCAGATCAAGATGAAAAACCAAGAAATAAATCTAAGCCGTTTAAACTCCACTACTGATATATTCTAGAGTTAAGGTCATTGATTTTGGATACATTGTGAAGATCTTATTTGCTTCGTGTGAAGATCATCTTTGGATGATTTACGTATAGAATGTTAAGGCAATGAGTACTATGGGATTTGAAATGGTTTGTTTACCTTGTTCATTGAATAGCTCGTTCTCGTTGAAGCTATCACCTGAGGGGTGGCTCTGTAAGAATCCCATTCTCGACTTTCTCAAGTCTTCTGATGATCGATTTGCAATATCTCTTCCATCGTCAGTATCATCATCGCCTTCAGAGGTTGTAGCAGATATCCAGTCAGCCAAACTCTCAGCCGCACGGTTTTTCCTTCCAAAATTCAAAAGCCTTTTCAACCCTTTTGTCACATCCTGTTGGCTCTGATTTTGAGATGGATTACCAGCAGCGACGCGTTTCTGAGCAGCTCCCCATTTCTTTCTCATTTGAGTTGTATCGTTCTCTGTATGGCTGAGAGAAGAGAAGTTCCAGAAAGCAGGATTACCCACTGGAGAGTCCACTGAACCATCAAGTTCAGATGCCTCGTTTAGATATTGATCCTTCACTCGCGAATTCCATGGAACAGTACTTTCTCTGGGTGAGTCCAGAATTGAACCCATGGTTTGATGCCCAGATCCCATAGAAGCAGGTAACTCAGTATTTGAACCAGAGTCAAGCTGAGAAGTAGATTCACCATTTGCAACCCCAGTACTATCCCATTCTTCAGACTCCTGACTTAGTCTTGGCATCTCGTTTTCTGCATCAGTAAAAGCTTCGACTTCCGTGTCATCAAGCTCTTCTCCCGTCCCCTCTTTCTCTATATCATCTGATGCATCAGATCCTTCTGAGGCCTTCAGCTGCGGATTATCAGAGCTGATACCAGTACCATAATTGTTAAAATTTCTCCCGCTTTGCTCCTGTTCAAGATTCAGAGGTACAGAAACACCATCCTCTGACTTCAGTTGAGAAAATTCTGTCGCCAACTCAGTAGCTTCAGCAGCACCTTTTCTGAAATTTTTCGGCCTTCGCAACCTCTCTTCTTCATTTACAGCCTTTGTGCGGATAGAACTTCTCCCCTGGGTGCGGACACCATTTTTTCCAACTCCTGAGGCTGGTTTCATCCCTTCTTTTTTGATCTCGGAGAAGTTAGGGACTGACTGTGCAAGAAGTTTATCTGCTTGTCCTCTCCGCCTAACAGCACTGGGAGTAGAAACTTTGGCTGCCGAGCGTGACGCTGGTGTAGCAGTAGTTCGAGCAGTCAAATTGTTTTTATTTTGTTGTAGCTTTTTATTCTGGGTGCTCCTGGAAACATCCTCTTCTTCTTCACTGTGAAATGAGCTAACTGGATGCTGTCAAGTCGTCACATTGTTAAACTATTAGGAAACCAAGGATAATATTTCACCCACTCAGTAGTTTTAGCTACCACAGGTAAACTTTCAGAAGAATGAAATGCTCTATACCTGGTCCTTTTTAGCACTCAACTTAGAATTGAAGTATACAAGCTTCTCTGCACGTCGCGCATTTGAATCACGTTTCCCTGTAGACTGAGAAAATTTGGTTTTCATCTCAGTGTTACTGCGTTCAAGTATATCTTGCATCGCCTTCAATTTGGCTTCCTTCTCAGTCCTTCTGCAACTCCAGTCTTCCTTCAGCTTTGCGTCTCTTTTCTGCATATATTTTTCATAGAACTTTCCCCTAGAATTATCCGAAAAGCTGATTTCTGGGAATTTTTGCCCCGTGGCATCTCCATAGTTATTGTTGACAACCATCTTCATTGTTGGTGGAGTTTTGAACTTGTCTTCATCGTTAGAGCTTAAAGTTGGCATTACCAGAGTCTTTTGATCAGAAGATAGATCCTGTGCTGCAGGTCTTCTCAGCTGTGAAGGCACAGCCTGTTCACTCGGCTTTCCGGGCTTACTTCTACGGACAGAACTGGGTTGATCCCCTGGCCCACGGAGCATATGTTCAGCAAATAGCTTTTCAAGCTCGTTCGCTTTCACTTTCAATTCGTCATTCAGCTCTTGACTTCCCTTAGACGGTCTTGCCCTTTGAACTTGCTCTGTCAGGGACACTTGGGTCAGAGTATCACTCTCGGAGAAATCTGAAACACTATTACTGGCTGCAGGTGGCTTTGTATTTACATCAGCTGAACTAGTCTCAGTTCTTCTACTATGCGGTATTTTCATCTGTTCAGAACCTAAAAGAAGATGGTACAACAAGAAAATTATCAGAAAATTACTTAATTTCCCCCTTTGTCGAAGTCAAGATATTAAAAGAAAAGAAGAGAAGTACGTTATCACATTGAGAATTAGTCCTTCTTCTATTCTCAGACTCAAGTGTTTAATAATAAAAAGAATACTTATGCGGTCATGATCAATTCAAGCATAAGAACACAGGTAAGCAAAAAATATACTATAGACTTTTAAGCGTACATAACAACTGAGAAAGGGAGTGCATGATAATCTAAGCATAAGAAACAGCTTAAATTATATAGGAATCCCACATATGAAATGTATCCAGTCAAGAAAATGCAGATAACCGAACGACCAACAAAATTTTACTATCCTCTTACATTACTAACCTCCATAAACCGGTGTCTTTCTCTGGCGATCCTCAACTAGTGGTGATTGCCTGTCTAATGGCATTAAATCTTTCCTAGGAGACTCTGCAGATCCTCCATTTCTCTGTACACTCGTGATGTTAGGTTCAGTTCCACCTAACCGCTTTAATGTAGACAATGAATGCCTCCGAGAATCCCTAAACTGCATCTGGTTCTGCCTGTTTGATTCAAAATCGCTCATTTTGTTGTCCGCCTCATCAGTTCTATTTTCATTCCCTGTGTAATCCGAAGTGGATCGGGAATTCTTCTCATAGAATTTATACTTGGGATTCGTCTCCAGAAAACCATCCTGAGAATATCCATGATATCCCACTTGATTATTTGTGCTTGATGGCACCTTCATGTCTACCTCCTTGTCTTTTTGCAAGGAAGTAGAACTTGAATTTTGAGACTCTACTTCATCCATTCCCCAGTCACTGCCATTGTTAGAAGTACATTCTTCCTCAGTCCTGTGAGGATTCACGGCATGGCTCAATCCATTCTGCTCTGTTTTATTGTAACCGACAAATAGTTTCGAGGATGTACCACTTCCATCTTTGGACACTGAAGATGACGAGGGAGTGCAGATTGGACTATCACCAGTATCATCCTTTCTATCATTCCCCAAATCAATGCTCATGTCACTTGCACCACTCCATCTTCGTACCACAACCTTTTCAATGCCTGCAGAAAATGATAAATCAGAAGAAAGTCTTTTCAGCTCAGTGGATTTTGCCACAGCTGTTTTCTCTCCAGAGTTCTCTTTCTGCTTGTTTTCAAACATGCTGATCCTCTCCTGCACACTAAGCCGTCTCGTGAGTTGCCTAGACTGACTCACTAAAGGCTCATTTTGTACAGTACCTTTTTCCTCTTCTTCTTCCTTTTCATCATTCCTACTTTGTGGCTTAAATTTTGATTCTTGTTGACGGTAGTTGATACCTGTTGCCCTTTCCTCTTCCATACCAGTTTGATATTCCCTATGTTGTTGGCTTCTGTTAGTCGCCAAGTCTCTCGATGGGTCTTCACTGGGATCATCAATTGACATATCAGATTCCCATGACGAACGTATCGTTTCTTCTTCCTGATTGACCCTCCAAGAGCTCATAAGCTCTGGCCTTCTCTGGCAAAGTGTGATAAACTTGGTGCATGCCTCACTGCAATAAGTATGCAGACCAAGCGAGATCAGTATATACACATAACAGGCAGTTAACTAAGTTCAAAGCCAAAATATGTTTCGAACCTAGATATAGAAATGCCTATTCTAAAAATGAGATATTCACCAGGTTGACTATTGATCACCGAAAAAAAATTGATACTGAATTTTGTAGTCCACTTAGGCATCCTAGTCATATTATAATCATGTTCATCCACCTAATGGCAGTTCTCAAGTCTCCATCAGACCAAACCTACCTAATTCAGAGCCTGATGGGTTTCTGTTTATGGAAAAGAGTACGAATGAAAGCCTAATCACATAAACATAAAACATATACGCGACTAAACACATGTGGTTAAGGTGATTATTCATTGTAAGTGTTCCAAAATAACCTTCTAGTTTAACAAATTCCAAATTTTTAAAGAAGGATCACTGACAGAGAATAATAAACCTAGAAACCTTGGTTGTATGGACTACCTATGCATAAATACAGGTGTACATTTCATTGACTGCAACTATGAAAGCCAGAACTTAAAATACAGCACCAGCCACCTTCTCGGTTTAAACCCATATAAATTAGACAAGGCCAAATAATTGAAGATGTGTTTTCATCTTGTGTGTAAATGAAGATGTGTTGTCATCTTGTGTATAAAAAGGGATCCAAATAATTTCCGACACAAAGGCCAGAACGACAGGGAAAACCTAAGAAGATAATATAGAGTAGAGTAAGGGATATCTAAATACTTACTTCAAGCGATTGGCCCCAAATCGATCAGCAAATTGACTAAGTTCGGAGACACTGCTAGGGTTGAAACCAGCAGCCGATGCGCGATTACAGGCAGTTGCTAAGTCTTGTCTAACTGCTGCAAGCCGTAAATCAATAGCTTTTAGCAACTCCTTTCTGGAAATCAACAAAGGGGGAAAAATCAGTGTTACACATTCAGGATTGCAAAATCAAGGAACTTTGCAAGACTAAGAAACTTTACTTTGTCACATCAGCTGCTGGTGTAATTTCTGTGCCATCTGAATCAAGAAAAGTTTAGCCAGATTATGTAAGGCAAGAAAGAAACGAGTAACATATGACTGAATATATCTGATGGACCTTTGTAGATTAATAAAAGACAATAAAATGACTCCACTCTAAATATCACTGCCATTAATACGCTGCCCTGTAGATGCCTTTCTCATATTTGCCAGTAAGATTCTAGAGGTGCCTCATTGATTGTGCAGGTGTACATTTTGTAAACTCAGCAAGTGTAAGAGTCTAATCAGAAAGGGCATCATAATTTTCTAGCGTCCATGAATGAATTGCAGCATCATAATTTTTGTTCATTGTAACAGACTCATCAGAGGCAATGCACAATTTTTCATGGACAATATATGTAACAGAATGTACAACTAGAAGGCAAGTTAACGATATGCATACCTTTTGCACTAGATCTCTGATCACCAGTTCCCTAAAGCAAGATATAATAAAAATCAATAAAAGCATTCCAATTAACACAGTATTTGGTTACTTGGACGAAAAAAAGGTGAAGTACCTCGCCATATATTTTCCGGGCAGCCTCCAACTGAGACATTTCCACATCCAATGCACTTACCAGTTCCAGGACCTCTGGGGTACTAACAAAGCGTACAAACCTAGAAGCCAGCAGATATAAGAAAATAGTGTGTTAGGATAAGCTCTGCTCCACAAGACTCGAACATCCCTTGTTCAGAATTAAATGTAACCTTTCGAGGGTCCCTTTCGTAAACCAAGTTCCAGCATTTTTGTTGCTTTCAACCTCTAGCCTGATAGACTGAACATCCCTGGCGACCTGTTCTTCGGCAACTTTCAAGTGAGCAACAAATGGTTTCACCAGGCCAGAAGCAAGTTTCTCAGTATTCCCAGCAGTAGAAACATACAATTCACATCTGCCAGAAAGAAAAAACATGAAAGAGTATCTTAAAAACCCACTAACACTGACAAGTGTAACAACGGAAGATAAGAATCACTCTCTAAAATTATAACCTTGACCGCTTTGGGGAGAGTTGGAAGACAGCATAATCAAGAGGTATAGCTGGTCTCATCTTCTCCCCCTTTGCACAAAGTATTCAGTTTGCCACCTTCACATTACCCACAAGAAAAGACAACATCAATAAAAGCTTTTTCTGAGTAAAAAGCAAAACAAAGTTCATCTGTAACGTTAAATGCTATAGAGGAATTTGAAGCGTCCAGAGGGATATGAAATAGAAACGTGACTAACGGATCCACATGGAAAATTCGAAACAAAAGAAGTATCATCAGTGTATAACATAGTCCATCACATGTAGATGCAATAAAGCAACATCACAGTTATAGAAACCCCAAAGTTACCAAATTACAGAATCAAGCACATTGCTAGATCTAGTTCCGATCATGGTGGAGACTTATATGTAAAAAAAAAACCCAATCAATTAAAAAAAAAAAGCGAATCCACAAAGACCCAGGATTCGAATTCGAATTCAAAATTCAAATTAAAAAAAATAAAAAGAAGAAGAAGAAAGAACAACGCCATTGTAATGATGAAGACTCTGAAATTAAAGTGAAGTCGTACTCGGATCGGCCATTATCAGAGCTTACCTGAGAAGTGAAGCAAATGAGAGATCTTCGTCTGTTTCCGATGAATCAGTCTCTTCCCGATTCACATTTGAATAGTTACTATCATTGTCAAGTCTCTCTCTCCCTGCTTTCTAAATTCACCATCCTCTTCTCAAAGCTTCTAAAACCCCTAGAAATGGAGATTGTTTCTTTGTCTATTGCTTCAATTCAAAACTCAAGTCAACTTCGTATCTAATTCACTACGGTGTAAGCTTCCGCTGATAGATTCGATTTATCTCTCTCTCATTGGTGTCTCCTTCCTTCCGCCGTAATCTATCTTTGTCGAAAAAAAACTATTTTAGAGAGAGAAAGTAAAATCAAGAGAGAGAAAACGTTCTTCAGACCAAAATCACCATTGTTGACGTGAAGTAGCGTAAACGTGTAAAAAAAAAAAAAAAGTAATTAGAGCGTAAAATTTTAAATTTTAAATTAAACAAATAAATAAAAAGTCGGCAGTACATAGCGAAATTTCAAAATTAGGTCTCGCCTAATCGGCTAATCCCATTGACCTTTCTTTAGTTACCCATACTACCCTTTATCTTTCGATTTTTTATTACTGTTTGAAGTATATAAATAATTAAATAAAAGGGTAAACTCGTCTCTTACTCACAAAAGGGACAAGGAAGGAATGGGTACATTGGTATTTTACTTTTCAGATCCAAAATATTTAACGTTAAGACTTAAAAGAGTAAACAGCACAATGATTCGCTGTTTCAGAGAGTAAATAAAATCTGCGTGTGTCTACAAAAATGAAGTTATGACAAAAAAATTATATATACAAAAATGGAGTATAGTGTATATTAAATAAAATACTAAGTAGATGTTGCCAAATATATTCCACTCTGCTCAAAAATTAATATTTTTTTAACACCAACCATTTTTATTTTTTTTATAATTCCAACTTTTGAAGACTCTTTAAATCAAAATGATGGACCCCCTGAAAAAGGCTGGAAAAATATCTAATTATAGGATATCAATCTTTTATTCTTCTTTAAATTTAAAATGTAGAATTGACCCTAATAACAAAAATAATAATGGAGTCCATGGCTTTATAATCCTACCCAACTCTTCTTTTTGGTATCTTCTCTTGCCCACTTTCAAAATTAACAATATTCATTCATTTGCTAATATTTTACTACTTCTTTACTTCTCACTACTACTTTTGTTACTACCCAACTTAGTTTACCAAAATAAATAAATAATTTTTTTTTTTTTAAACTTTACTAAAGGATAAAAATGGAATACTGATAATCCTAGTGATGATACCAAAATATATCACTCTAGATGCGACTAAAAACACGTGGACGACACCCTTGCTTCATTATTAATATTTTTGATGGAATCAGTTCTAAAAAAAAAAGAAAAAACACACACAAGTTTCGGAAATTCTGAAGATGCATTCTTCTCTAAGTATTCATTATTGTATTCATCACAATGACAGTGCGAGTTTGAATGATGGTTACGGTGGGATTGGGAAGATGGTATTCTTCTTACTCAATTATCATGATTTACTTTTCGAAACATGAATAGAAATAGTTGATTATAGGTTAGTGCGGAAGGTGATATTGTAGGAAACATATTATCGTGATGAATGAATACTCTTCATTGACCGCCATTTTTGTATGGTATCCAAAGGATGCCAAAAAGGTTAAAATATCATTTAAGTATTGAACAGACAAACGAAAAGTTGTTCTTTTTTTTTGCCTAACATTCTACTTTTTATAGCAGATCATTGGTGGGTTGATGATGCTTCAGACACGAGAAAATCTTAGCTAAAGCAATTACTAAAAAGAAAGAGTTTACATGTTTTTAGGTACACTTACAAATCTTCATTGTCATAATAACCAAACATAACTTTAAATCTTGGATTGTGACGAGAAGAATGTTTATGCCATATTTTTTCTAACCTAACTCTAGTGTCAGCTCACGGAGACACAATCTAACTCTGACGAGAGATTCAGAGAAGCCTGCATAAAAGTCCTCATTCAATGTGTCAGAGGAAAAGTTATGCAAGGATCATTAAAGGATGTTAAATCTGTTCCATGTTGACCAAAGTTAACAAAGATATGCAAAACATTAATACACTCATCAAGCCTAGATAAGTTTCTCTTTCAACAAGTCACGACTCAAAATCTAAAAATATATCAATTACGACCCTGAATCACTAAAACTCTAGTTATTACCCACATTGTTGTTGCTGTTGTTGACAATCCCATTGATGTTGTTGTTCTTGCGGCTGTGATGATCATTACTGGTGGTGTTTCCCAATCTCCCCCCATCTTGCTGCTTAAGTTGTGATATCTCCAATTGAGTCTTCACAAAGAACTGCATTCTCTGCAACTCCATTTCCTTTAAGAACTTCATCCTCTCTTTTTCCATCTCAACCACCTGTTGCAGTTTCGCATTCTCTGTTTGCTCATAAGCCTCACCAAATCTCATGATTGCCCGAGTTAGCTCCCTCCACTTGTTCCCCACTCCATCACCATCTTGCCTTTTCTTCTCCTCTGTCTTCATCCTCTTCGACAGAGGAGGAGGTGGTAAACTGTCCCCTGAATCATCTGACATTGCTGCTTCGGATTCCGAGTCTGATTCAGAAGCATTCCTCTTCCTGAAACGCCAACGTTTTGACTCATTACACCTCTTCACCACCATCCCTTGCTGCTGTTGCTGCGGCAGCATCCTACTTTGCTGTGGCAGCGTCCTACCCTGCTGTCCAAACGGAGATGAACGGCTACTCATCGGAATTCCCATAGGTACATTGACGGATCCTCCTCCTCCGCCGCTGCTGCCACCAAATGAAGCAGCTGAGACCCTCGCCGTAGCTCCGATTAGACGGTCAAGGTTATTAAAGGAAGGCGTCGCAGCAGCAGCCTTAGCTTGCTGATGGTAAAGATTCGAACGAGTGCCCATAGGAATACCCATAGGAATCTTGTGCAACCCTCCTCCTACTCCAGGACCTCCACCACCGCTGACTCCAGGAGTTGCGGTTGAGATCTTCGCTGTTGATCCAATCAGACGGTCAAGCTTGTCAAAGAAGACCCATCTGCTACGGCCACCCCCCGTAGCGATTCTCACCTTCTCTTGTTTATACTTCTTCTTCACCGTATCAATCCTATTCTTACACTGTATATCAGTTTTGGGAATTTTACCGTAATCCTCCCTGCTGCTCACGATCTCAGCCACCTCTTTCCAGTGCTTCTGCTTCAGATTACCTCTGCTAAGCTCCAAGTATCTCTCACCCCACGCATCAATCAACACAGCCGTAGCACCTTCGCTCCAACAATCCTCCCTCCCGCCGCCACCGGTTGGTCTCCCACTGCTGCTATTTGCTCCTCCGCCACTACCACCGCTCGCCTGAATCGGAAGCAGCGCAAGAGCCAATGCATCCGGATCCTTCTGCGACGAATTAGCCGGAGGTGTCAGAGAATAAGAAGGCGGACCAGCTGAAGCCACCGTAACCGTAATTCGTCCGGCCGGCGGCGAAGAAGATGGATCAGGTGAATCGGAACCGCGAGATCGGATATCTTCGTCGTCCTCCATGAGTTTAGATTTCGCCGGATCTGAGGTTGGTAAAAGAGGAGATAGGGTTAGGGTTTGGGTTAATATTCTGTTCGGGGGGTAAACGGGAAGGAGACGGCGTCGGTGAGTAGGGAGGGACACGTGGAAGAACGTGAGACGATACGGGGAGTTGACGTGGAACGACGTGATTGGGTAGGTCAGAGTAAGATTCCGTCACCGGTAAAGTTGCCGGCTCGGTTTAGGGGGTAAAAAGATGGGTTTCTCTCGTAATTTCGCATTTTTTGGTAATCCGATGAGGAAGTGTATTGACGGAAAAGCCCATCTACTTATCCAATAATTACCGGAACTATCCCCGTTCCTCTGAACAACCATTTTTCCGGTGATGTACCGAAACTACCCTTAGCCTAACCGTCAGTTTCAGTATCGGTCGTAGACATTTATTGTCCGTCGATAGTTTCCTCCACTTGTCTTTGGATTGCTTCATCCGTTAAATCGGATTCGATTAGTCTCTCTCCCCGTTAACCTTTCTTTCCATATTATTAAAATTAGAATAAGAAGGGTGACGTGGAAGTCATTTACTTTGGACTACTTAATGGGTTTTGTATTGGGCTTATTACAAGAATGTGCCAGTTGTAAGTTACAAACCCGACAGGAATGAAAGGTGGTGGTGACTAGATATTTTGGCACATATTTTGGCAAATATACTGTACGTACAACCCACTTTGTTCAAAAGTGGAAATGTATGCGAAATTACGTCCTAAGATATGCACCTTTCAATTAGCTCACCCTCACCAACACCACAAGAATAACTAACGAGAGGGCTATGTATTATATATATGTTGATATGTAGTTATAACTTGTCGCATCATTTACTTCACCATTTTTTTTGTTTAGTAGTAAATATACGCACAAGGCACACAGCACACAATGGATTATGTGTGGTAAAAAGAACTCATACTATCTTTGTAAGTTGTGTTAAACAAAAGCGACCATTATGTACATACATATGTGTATTACCATTATGTAAACACCAAAACTAGTTTCAGATCATTCTTCTCGTAAACTGTTTCTCTTCTTTTTTCAACGATCCAATGCGTTTAGCACAATCCTGCAGTATTACCGGACGTTCAGATACAGTCGTCATCTTAAATCTAATATGAAAGTTAATTAAACAGGTAATGTGTTATATAAAATGAAATATAGTTAATTTTGACGAAAGAAAAAGAAAAAAAGAGAGAGGGAGATCAAACCAATCGTAAGCATTGAGACTTGTAGCATGCGTTTCATTTGGTGTTCCAGCTGCATATATACATATGGATTATATAATAAATCGATATATAACTACCAAGCTTATGACTATGTGATAGGGAACAACATAAGCATATAAGATAATTAATTAACATCTGATCAAACAAAAAACAAAAACGAAGCAAACTTACGGGTCAAAGGAGAAGCCACATTAATGCTTGACCCGTTAGGACAATCCGGCACCCGACATAGATTGACAATCAACTTCCGGTGGCCATTTTCGCCGGATATATGGTTTTTCAACTTCCAGATATGATATTCCGGCGGTGGCGCTGGACCGGCGAAAGTTTCATCCCACAACTTGTGTAAAAAACTCATACCTCTGATCGAACTTTGAGAAAGGGTTTTTTTTTTTTTTCGTTAATTGTCTCTGAGGTGTTTTGAAAATGTTTTTGTTAATTCTTCTTTATGCGAGGATAATGGTTATATAAGGAAGCGTTGAATATCTTTGGTTAGACTAATTATATACATTTCTGCACCTATAATTTAACCTTCCAAAATTAAGGCGATTTATTCAAGGATAATGATATAATTAAACATAGATGATCAAATCTAAGAAGATAACTTCGACGATAGGTTTTATAGAATGTGGCATGTTTGACTTTTTAGTTTAACTTGTTTGACATTTTCATTTCCAACGAGCCTGGGCTTAACTTCTTATTGGGCCTGTAGTCTAATATTTTAACAACGGCTCTTAACGGCTAGTAGATATTTTTTCCTTTTCTTTTTTTCCTTGTTATACAACAAATTCACTTTGTTGGCCTTAATCAGAGTTTCTTCTTCTTTAATCGGCAAAAAGGAAAGAACAAACATTGAGAAGTTACCGTTAAACAATCTCCAGAAACACGCTCTTCGTCTTCTTCTTTAGACTCGTCTCTTCCCAACACCAAGAAAACTACTTCACTTCTTACAAAGGTAATCTCTTTCGTCCTTCTGATTTACGTTCAGGTTGCGATTCAATCTGGGTTTTATGAAAGGAACTGTCTTTTGTGTTGGATTTCTCGAATTAGGTTTATTTGAATCAAACCCACCAATTTTAGGGTTTCTATCTGCTTGTTCGTCGATTTTGGGATCAATTGCTTCGATTTCTTGATTCTTTTCCGCGAATCTGATTTGATTTTTCCCTTTTATTTTCTTATGTCACAGTTAAAACCCTATGGCGACTCTTCAACAGATGATCTTCCCAGACGAGAACGCTCCGATTCATCGCAAAAGTAGTTCTTTATTTCTCTACTACGATCTCTTCAAAACAAAAAAATGTGTTGTTGATGGACGCTTTGAAACAAGATTTAACATTTTCTTTTATTTGCAGAGTCTGTTACTACTGCTGCTTCTGTGAAATCCAAAAGAACTGCACTTGGTCAGAAGAAACTTGGTGGAGCTCGTAAGGCTCTGAATGATATTACAAACAAGTCTGGGATTCCTGCTAAAGCTTCCTCAAAGAATAAGCCAATCCCTTCTGCTGCGAAAGATGAAATTGACATAGCTGGGGAAGGATTCTTACACGATCACAGCAAATGCATCAAAGAGCAGCAAAATATGTGGGATGACCACTTCTCTGATGATCTCATTTTACTTCACCATGGTAACTATAGATATCTCCTAACTTCTGATGATAGCCAATCTTTGAACTACACTTGTTCTAAGCTTGTTCTTTTAATTTTGCAGATTCAAGCGTCAAGGAGAAGCATCTCAGCTTTGACATGGAAAAGGTACTTTGCTATAAAAGAAAACTCAACGTGTATATCTCTCTCTGTGGAGTATTATATTGTCTAAGACTCTTGAATCATGACAGACTAGTCATTTACATGAGTCTTTGTTCTAGTTTTGTGACTCAAACTTGTGTGTTTTTGCTTTCAGATAGATGCTCAGAACAATCTGACTCACGACGAACCAGAAGAGATTGCATCTCCTAAGCTGACTGATTGGCTGAAGAGCTCAACTCCATGGCGCTCCCCAATCCGACATGGCTCTGTGATTTCATCCACTCCTCTGACTTGGCGGTTCGATTCAACTGAGTTCACACTCACAGAAGACTCTGACCTCTTCTGAGCTCCTGTTTCTTATAAATGTTTTTCAAATTTCATCCTTCAGATGAAGTAGTAGTAGTAGCGACTATCTTTTGTTCAGCTTTTCATAAACTACTCTGTGTCTATCACTTTGTAACTGGTTTCAGGAATTAAAGTTGGAATCTTTTCAAGCACATTTGTGCATTCATCAAACTCATGTCATAATCAGAAATCTTATCAAACTCATGTCATAATCAGAAATCTACCAATAATGTTTTCCAGCCACAATCTTATACTCTCAAGAATCCGTTGACATTAACACATTCCACAGCAGTCATCATTTATACATTCCCACACGTATTCAGTATCGCTTAACATATTAACTTACATTGCCGTTATTATTGACACTATGGTCATGGTGACTCCTGATTCTTCTTTCACCTTCTCTATCTCTAGACTGTTCCGTAACATCTCCAACTGAGCCGTAAAGAATTGCATCCTCTGCAACTCAAGCTCCTTCACAAACTTCATCCGTTCTCTCTCCAGCTCCACCATTTGTTTAAGCTTCAAAGTCTCCACCTTCTCATAACTTTCTGCAAATCCCAATATCGCCATTGCAACCTCTCCAGGCTCCGTCTTATTATCCACGTCCACTGGCAATGGCAGCAACAATGGTTGTGGCAAACTATCAACTGAATCAGCAGAAAGATCAGGTTCAGACTCTGATTCCGTCTCAGAAGCCACTCTTTTCCTGAAATGCCATCGTGTTGAATCACCACCACCACTCCTTTTAACACCCGTCGAGAAGGATTTAGCTTGTCGTTGGTAAAGATTTGAACGGCTGCTCAAAGGAGTCACCTTTAAAGCCTTACTCGCCGTAGTGGCTCCTCCGATCAAATGTTGGAGCTTTTCGAAGAAGATCCATTTGCTGTTACAGTCCTCATCACCACCTCCTGCGGCGACTTTAGCTTTCTCCTGTTTGAATTTCTTCTTCACTGTATCGATTCTGTTCTTACACTGTGTATCAGTTTTGGCAGTTTCGTTGTCTCTGTCTACGATCTCAGCTACTTCTTTCCAGTGCTCTTGCTTTAGATTCCCTCTCTTCAGCTTTAAGAATCTCTCTCCCCACGCATTGATCAGAGTCTCCGTCGCTTCTTCGCTCCAACAGTCGTCTCTCCCTCCTCCGCCGGTTCTTCTTCCGGAAGCAGCCTTACTCGGAGGAGAAACCACTATCGCTAAACCCTCCCGAGCACAGGACTTCGCGGTTGACGGATCTCCCGACGACGGATGTGACTGTGTTCCGTCATCTTCCTCCATAACTTAGTTGAAATCGCTCGCCGGAGGGGAAAGAGAAAAAGAGGAGAGTTGTTCACCGCCGTGAGAATATTTTCCGATGAGGTTTGTGAATTGACGAATAAGCCCATCATGGATCCCATCATGGATCCCATCATTTACAAGACAACCATATACACATGATTCACGTGAATCTACTACAGGTCTACAAGAATTTTCATAGTTGCTCTGTCTTTTACCATTTTAATGTGGAGATACACTTTTACTGTAATTAACGTGACACATAGATAACATAATTAAAAATGGAACAAAAAACAGTAATTCTCGCTTTCCAATGGTTGGTATTTGGTAGGATAGATTCGGAACTATAATCGAACAAATAATAATGTATATAAAATGCTGAGAATGACAATAAGAATTTATAAGGAATTCAGAAGGACCATGTGTTGTATTTGATCAACATAAAGTAGTTGATTTCATTGATCTCAAGAATCCTAGGAGACAAAAACAATCCAATGACATAAGCAGAGAGAAACAAAAAAGAAGCTTCGAGAGAAAGAAGGAGGGTGGTTCACAAAACGACGATATTTGAGTTTTCTTTCCTTATGCATCCTCGTTGAGAAGACTAGAACCACTCATCTTGTCTGCGTGACTAGTCGACAAATGTGTAGATGAGTTCGCAAAAATATGGAGTGAAGTGTCCAGTTATGAGGTGGGGACTCCAAAGTTGTTTGATGACGATGTCTCGTGACCAGCTGATGGGACATTGTTCTTCCTTCTATTGTTTCTTCTTCCGCCATTGTTCTTCCCTTTCTTGAAATCCTGCTGATGGTCAACCTGCTCCTCCACCAAAATCAATTCATCATCAGGAAAACGTATAAGTGATACTGAAATAAGAAGGTTTTTTAAGGGTCTAGAATTCTTTACCCCTAAAGAGAAGGTATGATGAGCTCTAGGGTCAAATCCAAAAGGATCATTCATCCCCACTGAACTTGTATCGAATGACGATGACTGCTGTGCGTTTGTATCAAATACAAAACTACAAGAGGAAGTGAACGTTGAAGTGGAGCAAGATGATGATGACGATGATGATGAGAATGCAGCAGCGTCTCCTTGAAACATCTCATTAAACAGATCTTGTAGCTGTTCAAAACTATCCCCTGTGTTATTCTCCTGCAAACGAACATCTCAGATTATCACTTGGGGAAACCAATGGCCTCTAATAAATTGATTGGAAACCAATGCAGGCTGCTTAGTGCTTACACTAGGCTTGGATTGATTCATCATAGCCGCCATTTCACTCAAGAAGTCTCCCATTCCCTGCAATTACCATCAACAGCACATGATCGATATGTTCAGTAACTACAAAGGGAAGAGAATAACAAGAAACTGGGACAAATGAACAATGCATGTCAAGAAGCAAAGTTGCATTAGTCTTGATCCAATTCCCAACACAAAATCAAACTCATCCTGTTTGGCCAGAGAAAGAAGAGGCAAACACACAAGAGCATTGCCCTTTAATTGAACAAAGTAACTCTGACTCTAGTCGGAGTTTATGAAGGAAGGCAGAAAGTGAAAATCTTTATACGAAGAAGCAAAAAAAAAAAAAAAGGGAGTTTACATTTTGGTCATCATCATCATCAGTATTATAAGCTCCAACATCATACAGGAACCTCTTGTTGGAGTCAGACAGAACTGTGTGTCCATAAAAAAAAGCTTAATTAGAAACATTAAACAATACAAAGTTGGAGATGAAGGAACAAGGCAATAATAGAAGATGTCTTGTATCCAATAACCAGTCCCCATCTGTTTTTATAAAGTAACACTAAAGAATTCGAAACAAATTGAGACAAAGATTAGGAGAAAAGCTGGTGGGGAATTTACCAGAGTAAGCTTCTTGGATAGCCTGAAATTTCTTCTTTGCTTCTTCAATAAAGTCCATTGACGAACAACGATCCGGATGCCATCTCTGATTCCAAAATCAAAGTTCTCAATCAGTATTTAGTGCCAAAATTCAAAGTTGTCAATCCTAATCTAGCAATCGAGCTAAGGAGGCATCATGTTATCTCAGTGGCAATCAAAATATATCAAATTAGCATAGAGGATCCATCTGACAAAGCTAAGGAACAAACCAAATTGATATTACATGCAATAATACTCCACAGAATCAATCATTGTTCTGTATTTCAATGAACCCAGAAAAAACAAAATGAAAACGAAATATAAAAAATAAGGGGAGAAGAAAAGAAAACTCACAAGAGCAAGCTTCTTATAAGCAGAGCGGAGCTCCGTGGTGGTACATTCCTTCTTCAAACCGAGAACAGCATACAAATTCTCGTTATTATTCGACCCCATATGTAATCCCTTTCTCCTCCTCCAAATACAAAACCCAGATCAATAAACACTGAAACCCCAATAAAATAAAATAAAAACTCCTACTTTCGAAGAATTCACAGCTCACAAACACCCCCCAAAAAAAAAAAAACAGAGCCAACGAAATTAAGGAGGTAATGGAGTGTGTATATAGATACCAAAGAGGTTGGATTGATTCGAACGAAACTACCTAGTTAACGCTAAAAAAATTAGGGTTTTGATTGGAGTCGTAAGAGGATCAAAAGAAGATATCTGAAGAGAAGAGAGGAAAAAAAAAGGATAATTTATGTGTTCTTCTTATTCTCCTCTGTATACAGAGGACGGAATGGAACTCTCCAGAACCTCTTACCACTTGTTTTAATTAGATCTTTTCTTCTTTCCCCCTTTTTTTATTTATTTATTTTATTATTAAACCAATAAAAACGAATCGTTCCAAAAACTTGATTAGATTAGTGACTTCTTTACGAGAGAGTCATGTGGTTTTTCATCAAGTGTTTATTCCAATGAGACACACTCTAACTATAAGAGAGTGTTTCGGTTTAACCACCAGGGATTTTACACTTGTCGATTCCCGGTTTAAGATAACCGAAATTTTCTTTGAGTATAAAATTGCTTTTCGTTTAGTAAAATATGTTCTCGAACATCGACGCGCGCGGATGAATAAATTGTGCGATTTGAGATTAAATTATAAAATGAATGATATAAGTAGGAATTGTTTTATATCATAAATCAGCATTCATAGTTTTTCAAAAGAACCTACCAACTAATATAAATAGTATTGTGGTCCTTCTCTCTCTATGTGAAAAAATCTCTGTGTATTGTGGTCCCTCCAGAAAAGAAAAATTAATAATAAACTTTTGCGAAATATAGACCAACTATATTTAGATATACAAGAGCAAGTCCAATGGTGATTTTATAGGGTGTCTCAAATAGAATTTAGAGTATAATAATAAAATTTTATGTAAATGTTGTACGGATATCAAGACTTGTGTCCTAAATTAGCCCTGAGAAAAAAAACCGCATCCGCAAATATCTGTATCCGTAACGATACAGATATTTAAAACGATAACGATATGGATAGTAAATTATGGATAAATTCGGATACGGATACAGATAATGCGGTTTTTAAAAACGGATAACGGATATATGTTTTTTTTTTGAAAAACCCGGATATCCGATATTTATATATGGATATCCGGTATTTTGGGATGCGGATACAGATTCGAAAATCACGAATAATGCGGATTTAAAAAAAACGGATATCCGCTCCGTTAACAGGGCTATCCTAATTCCTAAATAAAGCACATTTGACAACTTAAGACTCGATGACGTGGCAGATTTCTACTGGCCGTGGAAAAAATAATAAATATATATTTTCTATAAGAATAAAATATTTTAAAAATGAGTAATTAAGATTTGTATTATATTTTTAAAATGTATAAATATTTTTTTAATGAATAAAATATTTTAAAAATGAATAGTTAAGATTTGTATTATGTTTTTAAAATGTATAAATATTTTTTGAATAAATATTATGAAAATGAATATTTAAGATTTTTATTTTTTAAAAAAATATATAAATTTTTAAAAATAAATATATAGTTTTAAGATGAATAATTAAAATGAATATTATTATTATTATTTTGCAAACCCTTTTACAAAAAAAAAAAGATGTGTATTATGTTTTAAAATGTATAAATATTTTTTTTTAGACATTTATATTGGACATCTTCACTGGCTAGGTAATCACTTAAGAGTGTCTACAAAGTTAAATTTACATAAAATCTAATAATTAATTGTTTTAGATATTCTTGATGAGTGTCACCATTGAACATGCGAGAAAATTTAAAGGTAATTTAAATTGATCAATATTGTATACTCATGCATCCCTTACCTTATCTTGCAAGTACACTCATCATAAGCGCACGTAGATGTTAAATTTTATACAACAATCTTAATAAACACACGTCACAGATGTGGTAATGGATCCAAAGAAATAATAATGCTGTTTCTGATATTTAGTTTTTATTATTCGGGTTTTGTAGTTACTACTTACTAGTTACTACTACTACTGCGCCAATTATTATTGTGCGCGCCAGACGGAGTCCTAATGAACGTGCATATGCATGTTTCCGTAAACTGCAATAGACTCCGAGGTCTTACGTCGCCGTCATTTTTTTGGAAACATGTGTTTTTTAAGCCTTTAAACGTGGCAATAATAAATAAATCTAAAAAAATTATTAAAAAAAAACACTTATCACGATTTAGAATGGCTTTGTTCTTTTCACTTTTGTCGAAATTGACCTCATTTTTACCTTGGATATTTCAACTACATACGTTCTTGTGAACAAACTTTATTACTGTACGTATTTTAAGACCATATGCGGAAAATGTTTTTAAATTTATAATAATTTGGTACAAAAATTTATGTTATGATATTTAAAGTATCTAATCATAAATTTGCTACAAAACTTTTAAAATCTCAATAAAGTATTACAAAAAAAAAAAATAGAAACTAGAATTACCATTAGTAGTATAGTTACTTTTAATATCATCCAACATTTCAACCAACCGGCACAGATGCTGTTAACCCATAAAAAAAAGTTGGTTATTAATTGATAAAATTTTATATATAAACGGTAATATACAAAATGTAGTATGTAATTTATTAGGAAAAGAAAATTGATAAGTTTAAACAAAACAATGGATAGAAAATGATAATGAATGTAAAAGAAGAAGAAGTTGATGAGAGAAATGAAGAATCAATATAATGAAACTTGATATTACTATAAAAACAAAAAAAATTAAGAGCCTTAATAAGTTGATACTTTAATCTTTTTATTTCAAGCCGTAGGCCAACGTCTTTATTATTTTTTGCCTACAAACTTCATAGGCACGGGACTCGTCATAGCGTATAAATTTCAAATATATGATGGTGTAAACTCGCTAATAAAATTTGCAGTAATATGGGTTAAAGATTTCCATAAAAAGTAATGTGGTTAGATTTTGGACTGTTTCTTATATCGCTTAAAAACAAAATGCGATGCTGACTTAACATCTAACACTTATTAAGTGCTTAACTCTTTTGTAAGTTGTTTAGCTAGTTTGAGTGAAGTGAGCTGTGATCTTCTTCATCTTCTTCTTGATCGCTCTTTACATATTTTGTGAAAATTCAGAGAAGTGAGCCATGATCTTCTTCATCATCATCATCCTCCTGATGAGTAGAACTTTGGCTAACTGTGATTTGAAGCCAGACATTACTGTAGCTAATGATGGATCGGGTGACTTCGTGAAGATTACAGAGGCTATATCCAGTATTGCTGAAAAAACAACTCCCGTTGTAATTTACGTAAAAGCCGGAATCTATTACGAGAACGTAATCGTTTCTCGAGATCAGGTTACGATGTACGGCGACGGAAAGCAGAGAACGATCGTCTCAGGGAACCTCAATCGACTTGACCATCCGGACTACACGACTTATCAAACCGCAACTTTCTGTAAGTGGTTCAATCTCCCGTTTAACTAGTCGTTTGATTAATTTGCTCGTTTTAATTATGTCTGGTTACGTTTGGTAATTGGTGTTTTACTAGCTGTGACCGGTAACGAGTTTATTGTCAAAGATATGGGCTTTGTGAACGTAGCGGGACCAACAAAACATCAAGTTGTTGCATTCCACACAAGATCCACGCATTCGGTTATGTTTCGGTGTGCCTTCAACGGTTATCAAGACACCCTCTACGCTCACGAGGGCAAGCAACTCTACAGAGAATGTGATATAGTTGGGACAGTGGATTTCATATTCGGAGAAGCCTCGGCGGTTTTCGAAATGTGCCGGATCATGCCACGGAAACCTCTTAGCGGACAGTACATAACTATCACAGCTCAAAATGCAAACGACAACAAAGCGAGAACGGGGTTCTCTATAATTAAGAGTCGGATTTTCCCTTTCGATGAAAACTTAACGGCTGCGGTCTATCTCGGACGGCCTTGGGGGAGTCATGCAACCGTTGCTATTATGGAGAGTGAGCTAGGTCCTTGCATTGATCCTCGTGGCTGGGTTGCATGGAACCGGTCGTTGGACCCGCCGCCTCCAACCGTCTCATTGGGAGAGTACCGGAACTACGGGCCAGGATCAACTGTGTCAAAAAGAGTCAAGTGGGTAGGCTATACCCCGGCTATGACGGATGAGGAGGCCGAGGCGTGTAGTATTCAGGCGTTAATCAACCAAGAAGGTTGGTTAAACAACACATGCATCCCGTATTAATTATGGTTTTCTCTAAATTAATGGTTGTATGTTTAATTAAGACAATATAATTAAAATGTAGTAGATTGTATGTTTGATTAACTAAAGACGATATGATGTGGATTGTATGTTTGATTGAGAAAATATATAAGGTTGTATGAATATAATGTAAGATTGAAAAGCTCAATGAAACTCAACTTGCTATATTATTCCTCATCTGATTAATACAAAAGTGAGAAGTTTTGTGCCATTTGTGAAAGATTATTATTCTTTTAGAGACCTAAGCAGACACAAGGCAGTTGTATTTTTTCATACACGACTGATGACGGCTTCAACCTCCTGAGGAGTGTAGAGGCGATAAGCTGGTGCAACTTTGGCAATGTCGACATCGTTTGGTGTCACCTAAACCAGAAATGTAGAGTATCATCAAAAAGGACTAAACCAGAGTTGGATTCAATAGGCCTTTAGTAAACAAGCTTGAAATCAGTACAGTACCTTTTCTTCCATTACTTGCTTTAGGATAGATACAGCGATTGTTTTAGCTTCTTGAAGAGTTAATTCCTATAAAAGTTGTAAAATCGAAAAACCTAAGAGATTCTGTAATGTACCTGGGACAGTGAAAGAATCAAGTTATTTTTACCTTGTTGACTTGCTCTTGGAGAGAACTACCAGCTCCTTTTGAGCCTGACCCAATTGCCTTTGCATTGCATTGTCAGAATGTTCCCGATGGATCTGTGTAGTACCTGTACAAGATTGTGTTGTTTAGCATTGTTGTACACCAATTTGAGATCATATAGACCGCTGGAAAATGAAATAAGCTAAATGAATAGCAACTTACAGACTCGGTCCATTTTTATCATGCCCTGCAATGAGAAGGGATAGTCCAAATGGACGAGAGTGCAAAAATTTCGTGAGACCAAGCACAAGTATCTATATATATAAAGTTAACTTTGCTCTCTTCTCCTTAAGTCACCTCATCATACTAATCATCATCCACATCATTTTACTATTTAATTTTAATAATTTATTTATACCATTTTATTCTTTCATTTAAATATTTATACACATGTAAACAAGTTTTCAAAAAGGAATATGAAAAGTCCTTTCAAACATCATCCACATCATTTTACTATTTAATTTTAATAATTTATTTATTTATACCATTTTGTCATTTAATTTAAAGATTTATACACATGAATACAAGTTTTTTCAAAAACAAATATGAAAAGTCCTTTCAAATAATAATTATAATAAAATAAATATGTTAAATTAGTATAAAGTAGATTATACTAATATGTATGTTACATAACAAAAAAAATAACAAATATAACAAATAAAAATAACAAACAAAAACATAACAAACAAAAATAAATAGATAATAAACAACAAATCGTCAAATCAATAAAAAAAAATACAACAATTCGCGCGAATCCACAAATCATTCTCAACTTTTGGACCAACATATTAAAATGACCTATAATATTAACATCATCTAGATCTATATTTGGTGGGAGCCTTAATAACACATTTTTTCTGCAACTCTCCATAACACTTCCGTTTATGCCTACACATCGATTTATACTATACACGCTTAATTTCTCAACTATGATCGAAACTAAAATGAAATAGATTTTTTATACAAACACAACATGAGATAGAAAATAAAAATATCATGTAGTAGAGAAAATAAGTACGAAATAAAATATGAATCAATTACTCATAAACTACGTAATAAAACTTCCGCGCGTAGCGCGGGCAACTAACTAGTATTCACATAAAAACGACACCGTAAAGAACCGAAAAATATTTGCCAAAACATCATGGAAGAGTTAGGGAATGTTATAGAGCTGGATCTATCAATTCACAACTAATTAAAACTAAATACCCAATTCAAGAGTTTATCTCTGGCAATTGATCAAGCAGAAGAAGTGTGTCCTATGCTAGCAAGAAAGATGGAGCAATCGATTCTTCATCTCCTTCACCAAAACATAAAGCCAGATCACACAAGGCTTTGGATGTAGATTCTACTGTCATTAGCTCACCATACGAGAATCTGTGGTTCTGCACAACATAAAAAAAGCCAGTTGGTAATAGAAACAACTTTGTGATGTAAGAAACAAAACCGTGAGAAACAGAAACTGAGATCTCACTTGAGTTTCTACTCGTGCAACCAGACCAGTCATAGCACAACCTATATGGTCATCAATTTCTATAATCTTCTCAACACTGCTCGGCTCCTACTTAATACCGCCCTTCAGATTCTATCACTCAGTGTTAAATCAAGACTACATTCGTAGCAAATTGTAAGTGTGCTAAATCATAAAGGCACACAAATAGCAAAGAAAATAGTACTTGTTAGAAAGCTGCTAACAAATCAACCAGTTGGTAATGCTAAACATAACAAATGTAAATAAAAACAGGGGAAGGTCGCACGAGTCTCAGGAGCAAAACAGCAAGAGAGAAAGTATACCAGCAACTCAGCAAGGTGGTCGAGGTTATTATACGCTACTCGACTGAAAGAACAACTCCCTCTTTTGTCTTTACACCAATCGCAGTAGAACCAAGCTGCAACCAACATATTACAAAACAAAACCTCAAGGTTTAGTGGATACACAATCTAACAGTTATCCCCAACATAGCTCACTAACTCGAAAAGGATTTAAGAAACCAAATCCAAGAATAATTCCAACTTTGTTTAGATTCTACTATTCTAGGGAAGCTACTGAGAAGAATGAAACTTTTTGGCTTTAAAAACCTTTAAACCCCCTCTCAAATGTTCTAATGGAGTACTGATTTTGTTAGGTATTGATCTTTTCATATATTCATGGAATCTATTAGTTAGGTAATCTACAAAGGATAGTCGATAGTGCAACATTTGAATGAACCTCTTTTGTAAGAGTGCTATAATGAGATAGGACTTACTTTCTGATTTCACTGTTCAGATCATGAGAGGAGAAAACAGAGAAGCATTGAAGCTAATGTTGGGTCTGTATAATGCAGGTAGAAGCATTGTGGTAAGTATCATATCAATACTCTCAAGATTATAAGGAGAGGAACCCGTTATACACCAATACCTTCTCCTCTATCTTATCGACTTGAGACTTATCAATACCTCCCCAGTCCCCACCGAATAGCGAATTCGGGCAATACAGGCAGATCGAGTCCACGCCCTAGTCCATACCAGCCATATCGAGTCCACGCTCAACGCAGCAAATGATAGAGCCGAGGTCTACTTCATAAGGCCCATGGGCCCTTATGTCTCTCCGAAACCTAGGTTACGAGGAGAGGAGTTCATGACCACATAGGTACCTATACTCTCTCTTTTATATTATCGATGTGGGACTTATCACTATGATGAGAACCAAATTTTTTGACTGAATATGTTACATTCCTTAAACTTACACTAAATAATTTAGAAACAAATTAAATATATATATATGATTAATTAAATGTTAATACTTAGTCAGATTTTTACCCAAATATAGTGTTTTTGACCAATAAGAGCAAGTTGTTAATGGTAAGAAAATTAAAATAAAATTACACTAAATGTTGAGATTTTTTTCTGGAAGTATTATAATAATGGGATTTTTTATGTGCCCAAGATGAAGAGTTCTATAAATAGAGCTATTTTCGAGATTGTTTCATATATTCAATAGTCAGCTTTATACAAAACATTTTTAAAAAAGGAGCAATGGGTTTCACAAAAATCTTAGTGACTTGGTCTCTTGTGGTTATAATGGTTGTCTCGTTGTCCACCCAAAACGATATTGAATCAGGTATGTTGTTTTATATACTAATGTTTAGAGCTTTATATCGAAAGATGATTTCATAAGTCGGAGAAGATTTAGAAATTGTAAGAGGATCTTGATTTGTGAAAATATATAAATTTGAGTTTTGTATATGTGTGTGTGAGCGCAGAGATCCACGCTAATAAAGAGGAGGTCCAGATGAAATGCTACGATAATCTTTTATGCAGCATCACATATACATATGATAACTGCACCTCGCACTGCGTAACAAAGGGGTACGATACAGGAGACTGCCGTCCTCCATATAGGCAGCCCAAGAAACCTTTCGTTTGTTGTTGTTATAAACGATGAGAGAGAGAGAGAGAGAGAGAGAGAGAGAGAGAGAGAGAGAGAGAGTGT